TTTCACCTAGAAGGGAAATTTACAAGAACAAGAAATCACCTTCACTTCAAAGTACCATTGACACGAGGTTAGATGAATTTAATTCCAAGTTTGAATCTATCTGTGGTCAAATGATGTCACAATATGCTGCTACTGCTAACGTTTTGACTGATGCTACGAAATCCGATTCTTTGAGTGATGAGAAGATGCAAGAAGTCATGAATGAACTTCTTAGCATTGGAATATCWACTGGAGATGTTGGTAAAGCTCTTGAGATTTGCTATAATGAACCCACCAAAGTTAAGGTCTTGTTTACGTTGCCAACTCACATGAGAAGATCATACGTGCTTGGGTTCTTGTATCCTGTTAATGAATGAATTTTTAGACCTTAAACATAACCTTTTGGTATGCACTTTGATGTTGGTAGGCTATGTAAGCCTCTTTTTGGAATTGTATTGTATTTTTGAATTCGGTTGAAACATCCGATTATATTGTATTTTTGAAGTCGGTTGAAACATTGAAATGTATTATATTGGATGAAACATGTTTTGTATTGTGTTTTTTGAAGTTATGTTTAAATGATATTGTATTATTGAAGTCGGTTGAAACATAGAAATGTATTATATTATATTTTGAAATTGGATGAAACTTTTGTATTGTATTTTTTGAAGTTATGTTTAAATGATAAAATGGTAGTACAATGCTATAAAACAAAATTTCCAGTTATTATATATGCTAAGCAACCAAACAACATCTATGATAATGATAATGATTTCCCTGTATTAACCAAACAGCATCAATGCAGTATTCATTCCCATTTTCATTCCTGGTCATTCTCATTTTCATTCCCATTTTCATTCCCATGTCTGAACCAAACAGGCCCTGATATTATTCAAGATGAAGTTTCTTTCTGTTCTGTATATACGCGTGCCTCTGTATGTAGAAGTATTTATGTTTGATGAATCTATTTTGTTTTGATTTTGGTTAGGTTGATTCAACTGCTGCTGTTGTAGCTCCACCGGCCAAAACAAAGGTGAAAGTTGGTCCTCCAAGCTTGTTATATATTCCACTGGTTCAGCCGATTTCTTTATTTCTGACATTATTTATGGGTTGTTGCATACTGGCTACCCCCTCGCATAGCTATATACATTTTATCTTTTTGCATTTACCTCTATTGTTCGGTGCCAACACATTCTTTTCTCACTGAAGTCTTAAGCATCATTCTCAATATTTTTTGGTTAATATTGTAAGAAAGTTTTTTAGTAGGTAAACAAAGTAGTTCCTGATATGGGTTGGTTGGTTGTTTTAGGTTCTTCTTAGAGGACCAAAGAATTGCCGTGAAGCAGTTAGGCACTTTGGTAAGGCTCCTGGTGTGCCACACAGCCACACCAAGCCCTACGTGAGATCAAAGGGAAGGAAATATGAGAAGGCTAGAGGTAGAAGAAACAGCAGGGGATTTAGAAACTAAAATGGTCCTCCATGAATCATTTCCGAAGATTTGACTCCCAGATTCCCAATATCATGTTCTCTATCAAACCTTTAGTTGTTGTTTGCTTACTTGCTACAATGAAAATTTTGCTTTTGTACTCTGGATTGTGTTGAAAGATTTGTTGGATGATTTTAGATATTGATGTTTTTATGTTCAGTTTTTCCAAGCTTGGTACTTGATTTGAGTTGCCATGTTTAGCAGAAAGTAGGGATGATATTTGTGTTTTATATATATATATATATATATATATATATATATATATATATATACACAGGGAATGAATTTGATTGAAAGTAATAGAAATTTCTGAAGAAAACACGTTTTAAAAGTTATTATTTGCAATTGATTGGGATAGGATACATGATGGCATCATGCGTTTAGGTTGAGGAAAAAGATGATTGCATTTAAAACATGGAAATGAAGTCGTAAATGTGGTGGTTGATCTGTTGTGGCTTCTCTTGGTTGATGAAGTGACCAACATCTTCCATGACAACAACTTGTTCCAATCCTCGTACGGCTTCCTTGAATCCACCACTAGGCATGGCAACGGGGCGGGGATGGGGCGGGTTTTGTAATCCCCGCCCCCAGTTTGTAATACCGTCCCCCGGTCCCGGTCCCCGGCGGGTTCAGGGATTATCATCCCGTCCCCGGTCAAATTCTAGCAATCCCCGATCAAAACCCGGTAAACCCGGTCAATCCCCGGTCAAAACCGGTAAAAAATATGTTTTAGTTTGATTATACCGGGGATCCCCGGCTCCGACCCTGGCTCCGGTTTGAGTAACATCTCTCGGCCCCGTCCCCATTTGAGTATACCGGGTATCCACTGGTTTGCATGTATATGTAAATAAGTTACTGTATTCACCGTCTTCCAATTTTTGAGTTTCATGCATATGTGAATAATGTATTGTATTCAACCGTCTCGGTTTATAAGCTATATGCACTTGTGAATGCGTCTCATGATAAATGTCGAGGTCTATTAACATGACATATTTTTTAAATATAAATTTCATGTATTATTTGTAAATAGAGTTGCTTTTAGTACAACTCATTATTGTATAAAACCAGTGGAACTTCAAAATCGTTAAAATTCATGGCTCCCGTCGCATTACGCGAGTACACAACTAATATATATATATATATATATATATATATATATATATCAATCATATATATATATATATCATATATATATATATATGATTGATTTGTGAAATTCCAAATAGTCAAAACACCTCTATGACAAAGTGGAAATAACAATGCGCTTTTGATAATTACTAAAAAAGTATTCATCTCACACATCATCCAACTTATCCAATGATTCTATTTATTATTTATCTAATGTTAATTTAATTGAAATATGTCACTACGTAGGGAATTGGGGAAAATTATAGAAAAATATAAAATTGAGAAATATTCTAGTAACCGTTTATCTAAATGATATATATATATATATATATATATGTATATTGGTAATTTAAGTAATTTGTTTGATATATATACATACATAAAAACTAAAAGACAACTCGAATAACTAGTATGCACATGTATAAACCGGTCAGATGAATGATTATCAAAATATTCTTTAGCTTTTTGTTTTTTTAGTCTTGTATGAAATTGATTATCTATGCTATATTATAAAATATTTGACAGAAACTCTTAAAGTCATTTTATGTATTAAATAATGTTTATTGATTCATATACTTAAAATTCATTATTACAAGCAAATTGTACGTAAGTACAATTAATTAAAGTTCAATATTTGGGTTCATTTAATCAATTACAGATAAACATAATCAATAAAGGATAAACATATCAATTTAAATATAAAAAATCAAAAATATAATTAAGACAATCATTAAATTCTAACAAAATACTTAATTATTATCGTTGTAAAAAATTATATTATTAAAGAAAAATAAAAAAAGGAGAAATTTTAAATTGTTATTATGATACTAATATTAATATATATTTTTTAAAATTTTATGGTATATTTATATTTTATTTAAAAATAAAAAAAATTATCTTTTTTTTAAATCACATAAAATTGTATTATAACATTGACTGATATAAAAAATAAAATATTAAAATCAAGATGTATCTCGCTGTATTACATAAAGTTCTAGCAAAATATATTTTGAATGGTTTTTGAAAATAATATCTCTACTTTTTAAACACGAAAAATGCTCGATAAAAAGAGGTGGATATATCCGATAGCAGCTATGGTTTCGAGGGGAAGGATGAGGATGATGACAAGTAACACATAATTGTTGAAAATTGGATAGGAGCTTCTTTCATTGACTTGCCCTCACTCCTGCTCTACAACTCTAACAATCGTAGCACCCCCAATCGGAGAAACTAAACCATACCATTCGATTAACCTGCATATATTCTCATCCATTCATTCATTCTATAAGGAATTGCTCATCAAACGCATAGAAGATGGCCACAAATCTCAGGAGATTTAAGGGCTTTGGTTCTATATTCATCAACCATACTAATCATCTCAGAGGACTCTCGTCGTCTTCCGCCGTTTTGGGTTCAGTCGACGCTCAGCTTCAGGCACCGGGTAGTGGAACGGGAAAATCAATAAACCTTTACACTGCAATCAATCAAGCCCTTCAGATAGCTTTAGATTCTGATCCTCGGTACTTTTTGCTACTTCCTTTTATTATTATAATACTCTCTGTTTTGGAATTTGGATCTATGAATATTCTTCGTAATCTAAGAGATTCGTGCCTTTCTTTTTCCATATTTGTTGCATGAACTATTGCTGATTACTTGATTCTTGTTTTTGATTTTTCACATGTGAGTTAGATCAAAAAGCTATGATTTGCCCTAGAATCGGATCGCCTACTTTTTTATTGTAAAATTAACGTGAATTCTTAAGTAATTTTTATATGGTATCGTATAACAGATACCGTTGGTAAAGCTATAAATTGGGAACTAAATCCACAATTGGAAACACGAGGTCCAACATGAAAAGAATCAAATTTTAGGTTTTTTGGAGATAAACTTACATGTTCAGTTTTAATCCGGTTATTTTGAACTTTGGAGATCCTCTCATTGTTCTTGATGGTTCTAGGCACCCATGATCTTTAGTGGGTGAAGATGCAGTCAGTAGAAGTTCAAATCATCAAGTCTGAAAGTTAACGAATGTCTATAAGATTATATATATATATATATATATATATATACACATGTATATATATGTGTATATATATAAATATATGTATGAATTCTAGCTGGTTTTGGGAGCATATTTGATTCTAGAGTCCTCAAAAGGAATTGTTAGAGAAAAGTGAATTTTTGTTATTGCTGATCTTTCTACTAGAAGGTATGATATATACATATATGTTTGCTTAATATGTGCTCAATCACTTCACAGTTCTTATATATTTGGGGAAGATGTTGGTTTTGGCGGTGTGTTCCGTTGCACAACGGGATTGGCTGAGCAATTCGGTAAACACAGGGTTTTCAACACCCCTCTATGCGAACAGGTAATTCTAACAAGCATGCTTGAATATATGAATCCATACTCTGCAGTTCCAAAGAAAAATTGCAGAATCTGATATTTTAAGCTATCCAAATTCGACATGAAATCAAGATACATATGATATGACAATTACTCCAAATAAAAAAGATGGTGTTACTTATTCAAGTTCTTTGTTTTCACATCTTCATTATTTTTTTCTGTTTTTCTTTTCTTGAAATTTTTTTCTTCAAATAGTTTCTTTTGAGTTCAAACTAATGCTTTGTTTTACCACAGGGGATTGTAGGATTTGGTATTGGTCTTGCAGCAATGGTAAGTTCTTATAAATTTTGTACCACGGTGTCATGTAACCAAATCCCTTGGTCCATCTTGTCATATACTTGTTGCTGTTGCTTATCATATTTTTGTAACAGGGGAATCGAGCTATTGCTGAAATTCAATTTGCAGATTACATTTTTCCTGCTTTTGATCAGGCATGTATTTCCACTATGCTAGTTTTTATCACATCTGCACTATCAGCATTTAGTTAATCGGTTTTCTTTCTTGTAGATCGTCAATGAAGCTGCTAAATTCAGATATCGAAGTGGTAACGAATTCAACTGTGGAGGTAACTTAAACTTTTATTCAATACAAAGAGACGGTTTCTCAACTTTCCTGAACTGCCCTCAGGACGTAGCACAGTTGGTTTCAGGGTAGTATACGTGCACAAACAGTCCAAGGTTTGAGTCTGGCAGCCGCATTGTGAATTCCTTTGGGGATTGGGCTCCAGGCTTCTAGCAGGCCACTGTGTATCTGAATTGGCTCTCACATCATGATGCTCTTTGGGGTGGGGGTGGGCTCGGGGATGCCAGTTAGAAACCCTATTGCACAAACTTTCATATAGCCATCTTTTTCATCATCACAATGTTTGTTTGTGGCTTACTAGGTTTAACGATAAGAGCACCTTATGGAGCTGTGGGTCATGGGGGGCATTATCATTCACAATCTCCTGAAGCTTTTTTTTGCCATGTTCCTGGTATCAAGGTATTGACTCATTCTGTTTGTGGACCATAAATAAGTTTTTAGTTCTCTCTTATGAAGTTCTCTTTCCTAGGTAGTTATACCTCGAAGTCCAAAACAAGCAAAAGGATTGTTGTTGTCCAGTATACGCGAACCAAATCCTGTAGTGTTTTTCGAACCAAAGGTCATTACTTTCCTCTGCTCAAGTACAAGCTATTGACGACTTCTTTCTTGTTTTACTTTCTTCCAAGAGCTATAAATTTCTTAAATTTTTGAAATTTTAGTGGCTATACCGCTTGGCTGTAGAAGAGGTCCCAGAAGGGGATTACACATTGCCTCTATCCGAGGCAGAGGTATAACAAGTTTCTTAAATTTCCTATTTTGCTCATTGATGAATGGTTAATCCTGATCAAATTTCTTGGTTGAACATTAGGTTATTCGAGAAGGTAGTGACATAACCCTTGTTGGCTGGGGAGCTCAGCTTTCCATCATGGAACAAGCTTGTGTTGATGCTGAAAAGGCAAGAAACTTATTTGACTAAGAATGTTGAAGAATATATGAAGAATTTGTTCACAGAAAATGTAAGAATTGTTGTATAATTTTGTAGGATGGAATCTCTTGTGAACTTATAGATCTAAAAACCCTAATACCTTGGGACAAAGAGACAGTAGAAGCCTCGGTGAGGAAAACAGGAAGGCTGCTGGTACAAGATCCATTCATATTCTTCATAAAAGATGCAATCTTGACTTGCCATTTGCTTAAAATGCTCTCTTTACCATTTTTTTCTCTACGATATGTGTATAGATTAGTCATGAAGCTCCAGTGACGGGTGGATTTGGTGCTGAGATCTCTGCGTCAATTGTTGAACGATGTTTCTTGAGGGTAAGCAATTATAGAAGTTTCAAAGTGGTGTGTGGTTGGTTAGTTTGTTGAAAAAATTATTGGTATAAACATTTAGTTTGGCCTGCAGTTGGAAGCTCCTGTAGCAAGAGTTTGTGGTTTGGACACTCCATTCCCACTTGTTTTTGAACCCTTCTACATGCCCACAAAGAACAAGGTTAGAATTCTACTCCCATTTTGGTGTATTATAGTTGTGGTATTGATGGGGAACTGATGTTAAAAATTGGGTGTTTGCAGATACTTGATGCAATCAAGGACACAGTGAATTATTAGGACTTGCTTCTTCCATTTGATATAGCAGCAGCAGCAGCAGCAGCAGCAGCAGCAGCAAATAATATTCAACTAATCTCCTATCAATCAACTTCTTGTGTGATATCATTTTATTTGCAATAACAGAAAATATTTACCATTAATTTTAGAGTAAATTACAGATTTGGTCCTTACGACCTCCATTTTATTGTAAATGGCATACACTTTTCAGGGGAGGGAATTTCACTGGTGTGATGAGGAACATGGAGGGAGTTTGTCGGAAAATGGGGTTCTAGTAGTGTGTCCAAAAAACCGTCAAATCTAATTAAACCCAACCCATCAAACCATCAACCCGTCAATTAGGAGGGAATCCAAACGGTCAACCCGTTGCTAATGTATATTATTCTAATATTATGTATGTATACAGCCACTTTATTTACAGCCCAGAAAATATATATAATATTAGTTCAATTTAAAGCCTAGATCCCGAAATTAATCAACTAAGGTAAGTTCAAAATTAATCCGACTAGGTCGAGCGCTTTGAGTTATTCAGTAGTCGATCGATACGCCTAGTTCCATTTTCCCCCTTATTCCCTTAACACAAGTGCACCGAAACGACTAGATCGAGCTTTGTATGATGTCAATGATCGATAAATACTTTAGTATATGATTCTCTTTTGCATATATGCTCTTAGAAGTTGGAACCACAAATGGTTAGATGTTTTCTTTTTTATATAAATTTCTGTTTTTACAGCATAAATGAACATATAAAGTATGTTTCAAAATATAAATTTCACACTAAAAGCATGAACCATATGAAATATGATTCACACTAAAAATTGGAACCATAAATTTTTGTTTTCATTGGGTAGATGTTCTTAGAAGTTTGTTTTTATTGCATGATGAAAACTCATATGTTTCTTATAAGTTGTAATTTATTATTTTATCCTTTTCTTATGTGTTCTTTTTTTTTAACTGTGCAGATTTTATAGAAAACTAGCAAAAAAACTAGAAAAACATATTGCATTTAAGAAATTAGCAAGAATATCCTTTTTTTTTTCTATGTATAGGAACAATGGAAAATACTCCTAAGTCCCCAAAAATCGAAAACAATGATGAACCAAACACGTCCAAGAAAAAAGGAGATAGAAACTTTGGATCACTTTTCAAAAAAGGACTCTAGATCTATTTGTAATTATTGTGGAAAACACTATGAGCTATTTATCAAATTTTCTATTAAGTCTTGTATGGATAAATTTGTTTGTTTAGATAAAAATGTTTTGTTGTTTGCTTTTTATCTTGAATTAACTGTTTGAATTACAAAAATGATCCTAATATCCAATGTACTATTATTTGATAATTACTTAATATCATATTTGCTTGTAATGGTCACTACCATGGCACCATCCATCATGGTCGACAACACCACTGACAATCACCATCGGCCACCTCCACTACTACAACCTCGTCAACCACCGTCTACCACAAGGAGATGGATGAACAGAAAAGTCAGATGCATGTTTTTTTAAGGGCAATGGGTGTCATTTTGATGGTTGAGCCTAGACAAAAGACCCTAGCTAGCCGTGAGAATAAGCTCATTATTTTTCATTAAGCCCCAAGTAACACTTAAATATGATTGTGCAAATAAGTCAATTAATCCATTAAGATCATTAAGCCTCAAGTAAACAGTCTCTATGCTTATTATAGTAAGAGAATTGGTAGAAATTTTTGTATATTAGTAACCCGTCAACCCAACCCAACCCATCCTACAAGAGTTGAATTGAGTCAGTTTAAATGGTTTGAGTTAGTTTGAAAATATCAAAAAACGTCCAACCCAACCCAAGTACACGTTTAAGAAGAAGATAAATGGAATTGGTCCTCGTAGGTTTTAATATATTCCTTTTGGTCCCATAGTATAGATAAGTTGTTTGAAAATTGTTCAAAATAAACAAACAAAAAATCCAAAAAAAAAAAATACAAGCATGCCCTAATTTTTAGGTTGTTTTTGGTATACGAGACAGAATAAAATTTATGTGGCATTTGGTTCGTAGAATGTCTTTGAATGAAATGGAATATGTTAAAAGAATTTTTGACTTTGTAGGAATTAGAATGAAATGTTGTCAGGTTTGACCACATGTTTGGTTGTCAGACATTGGAATGGAATCTGTTAAGGAATTGAAATATGTCTGTTTGGTTCACAGAATAAAGCTTTGGAATTTGAATAAAATATTGGTAAATGTCCAAAATGCCCTTTTTTGAAAAATTTAATTTTTTTAAAACTAAAAATATTTTAATAAAATAAGTATTTAATATGTATAACAATATAAAATACACAACCCAAATCTAACTATAAGTCAAAACGATGTTACTAAATCAACAGTGGTCGGCGATGGTTTAGATCGGTGGTGATCCATAGGCATAGCAACAGGGCAGGGATGGGGCGAGTTTTCTAATCCCTGGCCCCAATCCCGGTTTCTATGAACGATTCTCGGGCCAGGTCCCCGGCGTGTACGTGGATTAATATCCCGTCGCTAGTTAATTTTCTGGTCAAACCCTGATCCTCGTCCCCGGTTAAGATCTAATATTAGAAAATAAATTTTATATATATATATATATATATTAATAAAATTATATATCGAGTACGGGCGGGTCGGAGGATATTCTACCCGGTCCCAACCCCGATTTAAGTCAACTGGGGATCCCCGGTATGGGACCCGTTTTAGCGAGGAATCCCCGTCCCCGTTCAGGTCCGATGAGTCGGGTTCCCTACCGGTCACGACAAATCACCATCCCTGGTGGTCCATGGTCGTTCAGGTCGGTGGTGGTCCGTGGTGGTTCAGACACGGTGGTTCAGATGGAGGTGGTCAGCGGTAGTTCAGATTGGTGGTTGTTCAAATCGTTGGTGGTCGGCGATGTCCGACAGTTATTCAGATCGGTGGTAGTCGTCGATGGTCGACAGTGGTTCAGATCGGTTGTGGTCCATGATGCTTCAGGTGGCGGTGGTCGGATGTGGTTCAGATTGACTGTTGTTCAGATCGGCGATGGATCAGATTGCTGATGGTCGGCGGTGATTCAGATCAGTAATAATTGGCGGTGGTTCAGATCGATGGTGATTCGTGGTGGTTCAGATGATGATAATCGACGGTGGTTTAGATCGTGGTGATTCATGGTGGTTTAAATGGCGATGATCGACGGTGGTTCACATCGAAGGTGGATCAAATCGGTGGTGGTTTAGATCAGTAGTGGTCGGCAGATCGGTGGTTGTTGACGGTGGTTCAGATCGGTAGTGGTTGGCGGTGGTTCAGATTGGTGGCGGTGGTAGTAGGCTGTGGTTGTTGCAAGTGGTTCAAATGGCGGTGGTTGACGGTGGTTCACATGACAATGGTCGGTGGTGATTCAAATCAACGGTGGTCGAAGATGGTCGGCGATGGTCATATTGGTTTTTATGAGATTAAGGTATATTGAGTTAAAAGCATATTTGGTATTATGAAAATAAAAAATTTCATTCCATCAAAATACTATATAGTTACTAAGGAATGTTAAAATCTTACAATATTAAAATTCTTTATTTGTGAAATTTGTAGTATTTTGAAGAAATTTTTTTTTGTGAAAAATAATAAATCAAACGGGAAATTTTTTATCTATAAAATTCAACATTCTAATTAAATTAGATTTGTTTAGAATATGTGAAACAAACGTCTTCTTATCATCTCATGTTTGACATGATATGAGACAATGTCCTATGTTTGACACAATGAGTGAGACAAGGTAATACAAAAATTGTTTTTTATATTTCAGAAAATAAGTGAAATAAGATGAGATAAAAATTAAATAAAAATTGAAAATTTTCTAACCAACTCTTATTTGATAATAACCTACCATCATATTTGCTTGATTTAATGGTCGCTACCATGGTAGCATCCATCACGGCAGACAACACCGCTAACAACCACCACTTCTACAACCTCATCAGCCACCTACACAGATGTCTACCATTACCACCATCTACAACCACCTCTATTTTCAACATCTATTACCGTCCACCACAACTATCCACCATCTTCACAGTCACTGGTTATATCAAAAAGTATTCATTCAAATTTGATACTATTATAAATATATACATTTATGTATAGAATATTGTGTTACAATAGATTTAAATAAATTTACTTCAACCTTAATCATATTGAACACCAAACATACAACTCATCCAATTATTCCATTAAAAAACATATATCGCAACACACATTACATAATAAATAAATTAAACAATCAATTGACAAAACCAAAAATTAGAATTCATAAAGCTTCAAAGAGCAATTCATCTACCCTATACTCTATTTTTTGCATTTCCTGGTTTAAACAATTGAAATGCATAACAATTTCAATTTTGATCCATTAGAAATTATGATACCCTTCACTCATGTTCATCTTCAAAATCTTAAATCGCCAAATACGTTCATCTTGGGTCGATGATATCCAACTGAGGCGTTGATTCATGAAAATGTGTACACACATCCCATTCTACAACATTCAACATCACTTTACAGATTTCAAACAAAACGCATGACATTCCAGATCCCAATTTGTTTTCAAGATATTGGCGAAAGGCCGATTTTTATCAAAACATTAGCACGATGACGTTCGTATTAACAAAAATAGATCTGCAGAAAAATTATGACCGTCGCTTAATGACGATTGATCAATTAGCTACAAGAACTGGAACAATGCATGAGATTATATAGCCTAAAAACAAATCATTGTTCAATAATTCATTTAATTTTCAAGAAGCAGTTAATACCAAACTTATTTGTGAGATTTGCACATATTAAATAAAGAAAACACAAATTGTCACTCGAGTTAGTGAAACGATTTGGCAAACATTTGAATAATAAAAACAACATTGTTTGCAATACGAAGAGGCCTCAGCGATCTTGGTGGATAAGAATCATCAAATGGAAAAATCCCATCAAGAGTAGCAAATATCTTTGTTACATCACTGGCCAAAACAATAATGATTCAGATGAATAAATCTGAACAATTGTATAGTAGTATCGTGATGAGTCAGAAATGAATATGTTAAGATCACCTTTCTCTTCAAATAAAAACTATTATAAAGAGAAAATCATTGGGAATCCGAATGATTTCTTTCATCATCCTCATTGTCACTGATACTTTCTATCAAACAACCACCATAAATAAACAGATTTTTCAAAAAAAAATGTATATATAAATAGATAGATATAAGAAAGCCAAAATGTATCTACCTTGTCACCGGAAATTCCTAGCTAAAGAGGAAGAACCGGAGCTAAAGGTAGCCACATATAGAATTCAAAATATATGTGATCGAAACAGTTCATATCGCCTAATGATAGATCCCTTAATCCACCGATAAATGGGACTACGATCAAGGAATTGCAATATTAGGCTTCATAATGATACAGATATTGAACAGATTCAAACGAACAACAAAAAGATTGATCATCAGTTGAGGAAGAAAGCAGGATTTGAAAAATGGATCTTGAATCGATTGAAAGAAAGCAAGGATCAAACGATTTGTTTTTGAGTTGTTGTGGTTCAGTGTGCGTGTGTTATATACAGATGTAAAATGGGGGATGAAAACCCTAGGTTGTTGCGGCTGGCTCATTGTTATGGGCTTCCTTTTAGAAATGGGCCTAGGCCCACTTAGTTACCAGCCCGTTAGCTTGTCTTTCGTTCACCTACTTCACCTACAAAAAAGGTTTTAAGATCTATTGCTAACTCGAATATTGTTGGTTTAATGACTCTTTGATATGATGATTACTCTTGTAGGAACATGATTTTTTTCCAAATGTTTATTATCGGGACTTTTATCGGTTTAACTTATTAAACATAAACTAGGTTTTTTTTATGTTTGGTTGACATAAGCTAATTTATATTAACATTAATAAGCTATTTTATTGAAAAGCTCGACTAGGCCAGCATTGATGAAACATGCCAAAAGAAAAACTGCGATCTTCGCTTGGGCCAGCTTCGAGGCTCTACCTTGGGAAGTTCGGAAAAGCCTAGCAGACGGGACTATCAACCCCTTTCTGTTATCGAGCTCTTTCTCTCATTTGCCTTCTATGTATGCCTTTGTGGTCATAACTTCTGTTTGTTGCATACCTTGTTTCACTACTGTACGAATAGCCGATGTTGCATGTAGGTCGTGATGTGTCTTGAGATGGTCGTTCTTCCCCTACCCCCATTTAGCACCTTTCCAAAATAAACCTAAAAAAACTTTTGTTTTTCTCTTCAGTGAGTGCAGTGAAGGACTCTCGCCTCACCCGCCTATGTTGCCTCACTTTGCCATGCCTTCTACTTTCACCTCATCCTGCCCAAAAAGCATTAATGCTAGATATTTTTGTTTTGTCCCGCACAAGTAAGGGCGACTTTCGTCTCTGTTCGACCAGTCGGTCTCACGATCAGGCGAATGAAAAGGTATGGGGTTCGGGTCTTTTTTTAATCAAAATTTACAGCTTTGCTTACTAGGATACAACACAGTATCCAATATGAGACCAGACAAAACGAAAGAACGACATGATTGTATGAGGTCACAATTCACCAACACGATCATTCGGGGGTGCTCCGGAGTTCATACATTTTGAATGCTTTCGGACGGCCCATCCTAAAGGAGCTAATGAAAGCTTGAATTCAATTACTAGCAGTAGTGTTGTTTTCTATTTGAGCTTTCCTTTTTCCTTTTATCGAGCATAATGATTCGCTTATTATGAGTTTTTTTATTATTATTTTCAATTATAATTCTCATTAAATATCAATTTTTATTTATTGTATTAATTATAAATAGATATTAATTGTTATAAATACAAATAAAAATTAATTATTACTAATATTAATAAACAGTAGTTAATAT